AGAAAGAAAGAAAGAAAGAAAGAAAGAAAAGAAAGTAAGAAAAGACAACATCATGTTTGTAATCTATGGCTCTATAAAGCATTACTTGATTGTGTTTTAACCTGGCAATTTTTTTTTTTTTTCTCAAAAGTTGGCAGCACACTCACGGGCTCTTTGAGTCAAGTCCACTGTCTTGGTTTTCCAGCACCAATGATCTAAGTGAGTTCTTGGCACACATTTTATATTATAATCAGTGCTTTGTAAAGGTTTTTTTTTTAACTTACTTAGAAAGATAAATAAAAATGAACTGATTGTTTATTTGCATAAAGAAAGGAATGCAAGCCTGTGTGTCATAGCGCAAATCTCGAATCCCAGCACTCTAGGGACAAAGGCAAGAGGCTGTGTCTCAAAAGAGAGACAGAGAGAGGGAGAGAGCGAGCAAAGATTGTATCACTCCTACTTCTGGGTCTTTTGGTTTTCTGAATGAATGACAAAAACCATTTAAAGCTTTAAAGCTTCCAACTTTCTTTTCTCTGTTTCTTGCTCTTGACCCCACATTCCTTCCCTCTTCTGTGTGTTTATCCTGGAAAAGCACTGGGAAGTTTCTATGAACTTTGTGTCAGAAGGGGTTTGGCCTGGCCACTGGCAAAATGCATGTGCCACACAGGGAGAGTTAACCTCCTGAGTCTTAGCTTCCGATTCAGTTACTTTTCCTGTGCTCTGATAAGATGTCCTGACAAATGGAACAAAAGGAAGGGAGAGGTTGTTTTGAGTCACAGTTTTGGGGTACAGCAGAAGCCATGGGGACCTGAACTTAAGGTGCCTGGCCATGCTGCACCCACAGCCAAGAAGCAGAGAGAGATGGCTGCTAGCTCTTAGCTGTCTTTCTCATTTTCATATGGTCTAGGAACCCAGCCTGTGGGCTGGCGCCAGTCTCCACTATCCAAACGTGGATCCTCACCACTCTGCTTAGAGGCTTGTCTCCTGGCGATTCTAGATCCTGTCAAAACGACAGTTGGTATCAACTGTTACACTGTCTGCATTTCACTGTGGAAATAATGAAAGAGGAGTCTCATAACACAATCACACATGGATTAAAGACAAGCATTAGTAAGAAGATTAGAGATAAAAAAAAAATGAAAAGGCTTTGGGAGGGGAGGAATTTTCCAAGCATGATTTAAGACTAGAAAAATGGGTGAAATATGGCTTTGTTTGACTATTCCATTAGGAACAGCTATTTAAAATACACATAAAATACATAAGTTGGTATGGCAGTGCACACTTGTAATCACAGTCTGGCAGGCTGAGGCAGGGGGATTCCCATGAAGTTGAGGACACCCTAGTTCGGAGACATTTTGGGTTTCAGTCTAGCTTGGACTATGGAACAACACATTGTTTTAAAACAAAACAAAGAAAAATCCAATGACTAAAGCTTATGAAAACTGAACTTGCAGGAATCTTAAAATTTTAAAACTAGAACAGTAACAAATTGATAACAATCTGGAAACTACATCTAACATACTAGGAAAAGCACAAACCACACCGGAATTTTCCAGCTGTTATCACTCAAGATAGGAGGGTAAGAATTGGGGCACTCTTATGCTTTTTGAATGCCCACTTTGCAATTTTGACCCAAAAGACAATCTCTTTTCCTTTGCTAGGAATCAAGAAGCAAGTATCATGATTGAATAGCAACCGCGTAGCAAAGACTCTTCTTTCTGGCTAAGAATGGGAGAAGTGGGAGGCAAACCCACAAGTTAGCTCCATGATCTTTGGTGGTTACAGGCGTAGGATCAAAGAGATGAGGGGGAGGGATTGGTTAATAACCAGAAGATACATTTTAACCAGGAGACATATTCAAGTGTTTTCTGAGTCTAAGTGGAGATTTCCCAGAAAATTTGTCAACATGCCTTTTTCAACTCTTTTTAAAATGCACTTATTTATTTTGTGTGAGAAAGAGAAAGACAGGGAGAGGGGGAGAGGGGAAGGGGAGGAGTAGAAGGGAGAGAGAGACAGGGAGAGAGACAGAGACATAGAGAGAATATGTAGGTGCCACGATGTGCTTCTGGAGGTCAGTGGACAACTGTCCCGGGAACTGGTTCTCTCCTGCCACCTTGTGGGATCCTGATGACCACAGGTCTTTAGTCCTACCTTCTGGGGCATCTGGCTAGCCTACTTTCCCCAACTTTTACGGCTCTTTCTGGTCATCCCCCCATTAACTGTTAACTGTGTTGTTGCTGATGGTGTCACAAAGCATGCATACAGGAGACCAATGACTGAGTCAGATGCAGAGCTTCCCCAGCAACACTTCCATCTGTCTGAAACTCCAGCCACCCTTTCTGATGAAGTTTGATTCAGGGCTTCCAGTTTGGCCTGAATTACTTCAGAGTCAAAGAAAGAAAAGAGAAGATTAAAGGAAGTTCAAACCTTTCAGAGTTTCTGGCAAGATGTTGGAAACAATGGGGTTGCAAATTAACCAGGAGTTTGAGCTCAGAATCACAGGAAGTTCAGATGTTCATGC